TGGGTGGGTGGGTGGGTAGGTAAGATATCATCACCTCGGGGAGGGGGGCGATGATAACTTCCTCAATGGCTCAAAGGGGCATTTCTTTCAAAAAGGTTAAGAACCACTGGAGTAGATGAATAGGTACCACTTCAGTGGGGAGGTAATGGTGTTTCTTGTCTAGGCATGCCAGCCACGTGACCATGGAAAAAGTGTCTATGAACAAACACTGCCTCTTTGGCTTACAAACAGGGATGAGCACCAGCCCCTAGTGTCAAACATGACTGGACTTAATTGTCAAGGGGAACCTTTACCTTTTTTACAGTTGAGAAGCCAATCTGAAGAGAAGACATTGGTTGTGCTCTACTAGTTGTGATTCGCAGGCAAGGAGAGTGATTTGAGAAGGGAATGGCTCATTCCTAATTTCCCTTGTTAAGATCAGGGCCTGCCTCCATTTCCTGGTAAATAACGGTGAGCTGATACATATACCGCATTTTCCATGTCTATGACGCCCCCCACTTTTCTAACCTAAAATTTCTTTCTTTGCAAAACGCTTGCAACGAAAATGTAGGGGGAAAGCAGAAATTGCTTTCCCTCTCCATTTTCTTTGGAAAATGTGGAGGGGGAATGCTGATTTTTGCAATGAAAATGTAGGGGGAAAGCAGGAATCGCTTTCCCCATCCATTTTCTTTGCAAAACATGGGGGGGGGGAGCAGGGATCAAAGTGCTTTAATCCCTCCCCCTTACTTCCAAGTATAAAACGAGCCTCAATTTTTTCCTTTATTTTAGGGAAACGTGTCATTTTATACATGGAAAAATACAGTAGTTAGAGATAAGCAATTTATATGGAGGAGATTTTCATTGGATTTTATTTGATTCATACACGTAGAAAGCAAAAGCTACTGTGCGGATCATCCATGTAAATAGCTCCAGCTATATTACACAGTAAGGGACGTGGTGGTGCTGTGGGCTAAACTGCAGAAGCCTGTGCTGCAGGGACAGAAGACCAAGCAGTCATAAGATTGAATCCATACAACGGAGTGAGCTCCCATCGCTTGTTCCAGCTCCCGCCAACCTAGTGGTTCGAAAGCATGCAAATGCAAGTAGATAAATAGGGACCACTTCAGTGGGAAGGTAACAGAGTTCCGTGTCTAAGTCGCACTGGCTATGTGACCACAGAAGATTGTCTTCGGACAAATGCTGGCTCTATGGCTTGGAAACGGGGATGAGCACTGCCCCCTAGAGTCGAACACGACTGGAAAAAAATTGTCAAGGGCAACCTTTACCTATATTACACAGCAGAGAGTATATAGAGGACATGAAAATGCAAACCAGTTAGAGTTGAGGAACTCTCAAGCAATAGCAGCAACAGCCAAGGGAGGCACTGGAGGTGGAGCTGATACATGTGTTCAGTCTTCTCAGTTATGCTTTGTTGGTTTCAGCTTTATGTTGCTTTCTTTTTGCAGATTTGATAGTGATAGTCTCATTTGCAATATCAGGTCTTCAACGATTGCTGCTATGTGCATTCTCTGGCTGTTAAAACATATGAACCTGTAAGCTTAAAATCTGAACACAAGTTTTGAAAGTCCTGGCCTTATATACAACTGTTTCATGGCGTGAGATGGGATGGGTAGTCATAACTTCTCAAGAGAAATGGGTGTCTTGTGTCTCTCTTACTCAGATTGTTTTCATTGGAAAGTAGTAACATACTTTTTTTTTAACCTTTGCAGTTCGCACATGCCCCAAACTCTTTGCCCCTCAACATGGGCATATCAACTGTTCACCAACTGAAATCTCATATGGGACTGTGTGCTTAGTGACTTGTGATGACAATTATGAACTGGAAGGCAACTCCAAACTCACTTGTCAAGGCAACTCACAATGGGATGGAAAAGAACCCAAGTGTGTGGGTATGTTTTTTATTATTATTATGTCATTATCATTAGTTATACTTTCTTTGCCCAATTTTTGTTACAGTTTTTAAGATTAGAAATAGATTTTCCTCCCCTTTCAAACTCTATCCTCTCACAAAGCAGTTTACCTCTCTAGTTCATTAGGGTTCATTATTTAACGAAGTGCTCATCATAGAATTATTTATTTATTTACAATATTTTATCCTGACTTTCTCCTTAAGAAGGACTGAATTCAGCTGACATCGTCAAGATAATATTTAAAACTAAAAACAGTAAGTATACAAATATAAAAGCAAGTAAAACAAAAAGTCATACAGATATACAGTAAATTGTGTTTGTTTAAAGAAAGTTTAGTTTCTGAACACCTTACTGTAATAGTTTCTGAGCACCTTGTTTTGCACCATATGTCATTCTGTGGCAAGCATTTTAAAAATCTGTATTACACAGATGTGGAAACATTAGACGTGCATTTTTTTAAAGAACTCTGAAGGGCAGAAATGAGTACAGTATATGGCAGCTTTCAGATTTGCACCCATAAGATTGAAAAAGGCCTGGAAGCTTTTACATGTTTAAAAAAAATCTTGGAGCTTAAAATTTTGTCCCCTTTTAATTAATGATCTCATAGCATTAAAACAAAATTTCACAAAATTGGTAGAAAATGTTACAGTACATTAGGTCCATCTATCTAAAACATATTGAACTTTAGTCCGTCAAGCATGTGGTCTGCTTTTATTGTTTCCTTGGTGATAAACAAATTATGATGCCCTTAATGTCAACTGTGCATAAATCTGAGGTCCTGAACTGTGGAACGTCTTGCATTCCTACTGTTGTTTTTGGCAGTTGTCAAATATTTCTGGGTGTCAGATTTATCAACAGAAGGTGCTAGGTCCTGTACAGCTGTAGTCAGCCACTTAATCACATTTGTAAACGGTTTCTTAAATTGTTTAGTTAAAGAGTACAGAGAAGATGTGTCAAAAATGTCAGTCTTTGAAGAGTTTCCTCCCAGATGTCTGAAATTGCCCCACTGCATTCTAAGCTGATGACAACATCCAAGACAAGCAATGAAAGATGTGTCCCCCCCTTTGTCCTATCCAGAGTTTGTGGGGGTGGAGAAGGCAATTGGTGCTGCAGCACCACATTTCATCAGGCTTGTAGCTTAACAGCTGCTTCTTTCTACTAGTGTGCGGAGAAGATGACTTTTCTGTTTGCTGACTCCTAACAGAGAACAGCAGAGGAATAAAACTTAGGCAAACCCCAGGGAGTTGAGTGACCAGAATGAACTACCAGGGAGACCTACCAGAAGGTTTACACGGGAGTTTGGCAGGGAGGCTCCTAACAATTGTTTAAAGTTTCTGGATATAATTATATATTCATGGACTTTTCTTCAAGGCAGACAAGACAAAGTAAAGGGCATGCACAAACTATCAGAAAAAAGTAAAAAGGAAACAGGGATTATGGAGGGAAGAGACACTTCAGTGGTGTTGACCTGCAAATTGTGTGCAATGTTTGTCTTCATGCCAGAGAACAATGCAGTGTACAGTCGTGTCCCACTGGATGATTACCCCACTCTACGACAAATCCGCTTTACGTTGATGTTTTTGCAATCTCAAAACGATGTTTTAAATGGGGTTTTTTCGCTGTGCGATGATCGGTTCCCTGCTTCGGGAACCAATTTTTGCTTTACGACGATCAGCAAACAGCTGATTGTCGGGTTTCAAAATGGCCGCTGGCTGAAGAAAATCGCCCCCGCTGTTTTCTAGGATGGATTCCTCGCTTTACAGGCACTGGAAATGGCTGCCGTATGGAGGATCTTCGCTGGACGAGCAGGTATTCAGCCCATTGGAACGCATTGAACGGTTTTCAATGCGTTTCAATGGGTTTTTTAAATTTTGTTTGACGTTTTCGCTCTACAGCGATTTTGCTGGAACGAATTAACATCATCAAGCGAAGCACCACTGTACACGTGTAGCAAGTGCAACCTGGTAGCACTGTTGGAAGAAAAAGTGAAAGAACTGAAGCACTGAGTGGCCAGGCTTCAGGCTATAAGAGAAGATGAAAAGTACATAGACAGAATCCTGGAGGAGGTGGAGCAGTCAAGAGGGGCACTGGAGGTGAAAGATCATCAAGACAAGCAGAGGAGGAGGATGCTGAGGAGAGAACAAGTATAGTGGAGGAAGCACCGTGGAAAAGAATCACAGTTAGGAGCAAAAGGAGGAGGAGACACTCTTCACCAGCGGAACTGCAAAACCACTTTAAGATTCTTGAAGTGGAATCTGGCAGACAGAATGAAGAGGAAGACATGTGGGGGGACATAAGAAGGGCTGAAGCTCAGCCCAGCTGCAGCAGCAGCAGAAGAAGAAAAGAATAGTGGTGGTTGGAGACTCTCTACTGCAAGGGATTAAAACTGAAATATTCTAGAATGATCCATGGACCCACAGGTATGCTTTCTCCCTCAGGGACAGATTAAGGATGTGACAGAAGGATTGCTGTCACTCATAAAACCAAAGATGCATATCCTTCCTTCTCATCCATGTGGAAACATGATACAACCAAGAGGTGTTGAGATATATATTTATATAATCGTGCAACTCAGTGTGTGTGTCTATATACACATATATGTAATGTGTATATGAAATTTTAAATGTGTTTGATAGAACCAGATTGTTGTATTAGCATAGTATATGTTTCGCACCAATCAGAATGTGTTTGAAGTCAGCTAGACTGCTGTGTGAGACTGAAGTCTGTCAGACAAAGCTAAACATGTAGTAGACAAGATCTCAGACAATATGTAACTAAGACAGAGACAGACAGGGCTGAAAGGGACAATGAACAATATGTGACAGAGAATAAAATATGTAATAGGGCCAAACAGGGCTTACAAATGTAATAATATACCTATGAGAGAGTTAGTTACTTACCAGAGAAAATGTGTGTGTCATACCAAATGTCTAAGCACTAAATGTTTTGTTATATTTTATATATGTTTATGAACAGTAAACGTTATTTCATGTTTTAACCAAGACATAAGTGATTATTTGTGCACAAAATGCACAAAAGGGAGTATACAAATTTTACTATACAATAGTGGGTTGTTATTTTTTTATCTAAATGCTCCAAGCAGCTATATGCAAACTTCGCTAAGTTATAGGTCATGTATTATTTATGATAACCAAAAGCCAGCAAGAGGGACTACAAAGAAAGCAGACTTTGAAGCTCTGGGACAGACCCTCAAGGCCCAAATAGTCTTCTTGTCCACCCTAGCAGTACCCAGAAGAGGAACCAAAAGGTAAAGAAAAATACTCCAGGTGTTTCACTGGCTATAAAGGTGGTACTGATGTGAGAGATTTGGATTTTGGTACCACGAGTTATTCTTCCTGAAAGATGAACTGCTGGCAAGTGATGGGTTGCACCTGACAAGGACTGGGAAGAATGCATTTGGTCACAGCATGAAGAACTTCATCAGGAGAACTTTAAACTGAATTGGAAGGGGGAGGGAGCTGCAAGCTCAAAGGCAAAGATAAATGAAGGCTTATGCACAATAAGAGGAACAGACTGAGCAGAGGAGTAACTCTCCTTGACTTGGCTGTAATCAGTAGAGATGGTGGAAAAAGTGGCAATCGGAGAACCTCTAGAGGAATGTGAGCATGTTTTACTTGAATTATTTATTTCAAAAGAAACGAAAACAGAGTTTAGCTGCATGTGTGCACTGAATTTTAGGTAAACAAGTTTTAATAAACTCAGAATAATGATAAATAAGATCCCACGACAGGAGATCCTAACGGGAAAATAAGTCCAAAATGGATGGGAATTTCTTTAAAAGGAAATTCTAAAGGCACAACTATGAACAATTCCAACAGGAAAAAAGGTGGAAAGTGGCAAAAAAAATATAGCCCAACATAGCTTTAAAAAAGCTCATTTCTGAAAATAAAAAGGACACATATTTATTATTTATTTACATTTAAGTTATTTGTATGCTGCCCTTCTCCCCATAAGGGACCCAAGGAAGTGAAGGAAGTCCAGACCATGAAGGAAGAGTAGAGACAAGTAGCAAAAAATTGCAGGAATGGCATTAGGAAAGCAGAAGATGAGAATGAGCTGAGGTTAGCAAGAGATGCTAAAAGCAATAACAAAAAAAGGGGATTCTTTGGAGATCTAGTAGAATTCCTGGGCTCCAGTAAGTTTATTGTCCTGCCATTTGACACCCTTGGACCTGCTCATGGAACACTCAGCATGAAAGAGTAAGCTCTGTGTGGCAGATTCTAAGGGCTATGTCAGCCAATCCCGTAACAGATGGTTGTAACAGACTTTCAAAAATTTGTTTCTTCAAAAGTTGCTTTTAAAATTGTTTTTCCATTTTTATATTTTATATGAGTATGCAATGAAGACTAGGGAAGCTATGTTTAGAAACTCAGTGTCTGGCAATTTCTTACATCTCTAAAATTATTTTTCATTTTCTGACCTTCAGGAATCCTTCCCTCTAAATTTCTCTCATGGGTTTCTTCCTATATGTAATAGAAAGCACGTTCTGTGCTACTAGATGAATATTACACACGTTTTCTCTTTTTGTCTACCGATATGCATGTCCTTCTTTCTTCTAGAACTGCTTTGTCCTGTCCTCCAGAAACCAGAACATGTGATCATTCATCCCTATATTTGTGGGCTTGAGCCATCAAAGTATGGAACTGTGTGCGGGTTGAGTTGTCCCACTGGATTCCTTCTGTCCGGAGTCAGAGAAGAACTGAGATGTTTAACCAGTGGGAGGTGGAGTGAAAATTTGCAGAAGGCTTCCTGCAAAGGTATCAACTTGGTTATCATTTCTTTTTGATTGAAAAAGCAGAGTTGGGAAGTGTTTGCAGGGGATATAAGGGGTAGAACATTTCTGAATGGAGTAACAAACACAGAAGTAATTGTTCATTAGTAGACTCCCAAACAGGATTGGTGCAGATAATGACATTTTCCTGTTTCTTAGAATGATTAAGACTGGGAATGTTCTGTGAAGCTGCCATGCTCCCTCTTCTCACACATATTCTTTCCATCTTTTGTTTTCAGAATTAGCCATGGAGTAACTTGGCATTTGTAGCAATATCAGCAATTATATGTTTTTGTCTTTTAAAACAGACAAAATAGTGTTGCTATTGAGGAGTGCATGTTTGTGTGTGTGCGTGCGTGCGTGTGCGTGCATGCATGCATCTGTTAGTCTTCATGCCAAAAGAACATGGGGAGTAATTTTGAGCTGTTTGATCAAAATAAATAATATGGATCAGAATGACAGTAAAAAGATTTCTTTGCATCTGTTAGTCTTCATTCCAAAAAAACACGGGGAGGGTAATTTTGAGCTGTTTGATTAAAATACATAATACGGATCAGAATGACAGTAAAAAGATTTCTTTGTACATGTAATTTGGTTCCTTTGAGTTTATGCATAAGCTAGAACCACACCAAAAATAAAACAAATATGAAATACATGGAAATCAGTTGAGAAGACATAGCTAGTCATGAAAAAGATGTTGTTTTTATGCAATTGTAGTAAATATAGCAGCAATAACAATTTTGTTGCATAGCAAATAAAGCAGTTTTATCGTGAATGTCATAGAAGTCAGTGGTAAAATAATGTATGGAATACTATGAAAATCTCTAAGGCACTACACTAAATTCCAAAGAGTCCTAGTCCAAATATTTTAAAAGAATGCGAGACGAAGTGTCTTAAATATTGAATTGCAGCATGATCCCAGTGAAAATGGAGAGGCATATATCTACTACTCCAGTAGAGAGTTCAGAATTATTGGATTCAATAGAAAGTCCTCCAAACGGGTTAAAAAGGATTCCTAATGCAAAAGTTTAAAAAAGTATCAGAACCAAATAAAAGAATAGATAACCACAACCTAAGAACTCAAATAACTAGATTTAAACTTAAAAACACATATACACAAACGAAACTTGCTTCTTAAAACACCCTCAAACTTATGTATATCTTGATTAGTTGTTGTGTCCCATCAGTTCATGTCTAGTATCCATTAAAGTCAGGTAGTATAGAACAGCTCTAATTAACACACTGATCATGAGGCTCTGAAACAAAAACAATAGAAAAAAAACAATAGTTTATCAGAAATGCACATAGCAATACCCATCATTTTGCATTGGCTCAAAGACAAGGTAAATTCAGATCAGAACATTTGTATTGAATGATTTTTGAATGCCCAGTAGCCTATGAATGTCCTACTGGGGAGCATCAGAATATAACATGCTGTGAGGACACTTACAATGTCTTATTTCAGTATTTTTAACTGATAAAATCCAAATCTTCCCCATTCCATAGTTCTCCTATTTCCCATAATTCCATAGAATTATGGAATTTAGTTCCCATACTTCCATAGAACCAACCTAAGGAAGAAAAAGATTCCCACCTAAGCAGTACAGGTCCTGGATAGAAACCTCAGTGTGGATTGTAGTTCATTTATCAGTCAAGACATTAGCACATGATTCCCTGTGAGAAAAAAAGAAATTCTACCAATGAAATGATCCGGTATCTTCAAAATACTTTAAAAATACATATTCAGTGCTGGCTTTTGTGTCTTTCTGATACAGACATTGAACCACCAAAAATTAGCTGCCCTGATGACATTAAAGCTCCTACACTTGAACACCAGAATTCTGCAAATATTAGCTGGCAGGTTCCAGCAGCAACTGATAACTCTAGAGATGAGGTAAGCCGAAACCAGGTGCAAACTCTTTTTATGGTCCATTTATATTAATGGATGATTGGGGAAACAGTGATTGTTTTAAACTCTCAAAAGCCATAATGACTACAGAGGAGGAGGAGGATGCCATCATAACTGATTTGGAACTTGATTGCATGTGTGAGTCGTCTACCTAACCATATAAGTCTTGCAGCAAAATTAACAATGAGTCCTATGGCACCTTGAAGACTGGCAAGTTTTATTTGTTATAGGTTTTGTGAATTACAGTCCACTTCTTCAGCTGCATAGCGTATAGCTTCAGTAGAGAGATTTTTATAAAGACATGGGGGAGGATGGGACAGAATTGTCTCCATTGACACTCTGTTTTTGACTTCAGGGCACTCATCCTTCAAAAAAGAACTTCAGCAACACATTCCAGAGGGAGCCAGTCAAACATCAAGAAGTTCAATTCTATCTCCTTAGTTTAAACAGGAAATGCAGCCTTTTATTTCATTATGCCTATTGATCTGTTAGTCCATGCAGATTAGTGCATTGCTACCCAGCTTCTGGACAAATTTCTTTACTTGGAATTTTTTGCACTTCTGTTCCTCCAATTAGTACAACCTTACACTCTCTGAGTATAATGGATGATATCCTTCTATTATACATGGCCTAAACAAAGATGTCTTACCATCGTACGTGTGCTTGATTATACTTGGACATACTTGTTGCCCATACTTTGAATGATGCTTAATATTACCATTAAGAGATCTGTGTTTCTCCAAGTCTGTCAGCAATGCTAAATGACAACTGATAGACCATCACTAAGCTAAGCCTTTTGCATTCCATTGCATTTCATATGTCCCCATATCTATCCACTAAGGCTACATTCTGTGTATCTGAAAAAGTGGGCTACATCTGAGGGACTGTATCTCACTATCTGGACCTTTCTATCCTCCCCATGACTATACATATCTACCCACTAAGGCTACATTCTGTGTATCTGAGTAGACATGGTCTAGAGGGGTGGACTGTATCTCACTATCTGGAGAGTTTTAAGATTTTTGGGGAAGACCTTCCTCTTGGTACCACTGCCCTCACAGGCACATGTGGTGTGATGCCAAAGAGGATTGTTTGGTGGCTGCTTCTAAGCTATACAGCTCCCTGTCGTGAAAGAGTGGGTTGCCCCCCTCCATTCTGTCCTTCCCCCTGCAGGCAAAGGACCTTCGTTTCCAGACAGAATTTTATTAAGTTTGTAAACTGATGCTGAAGGAAGAATATTTAAAGGGAGAGCTGTTCTTTAATCCTTTTAAAATCTGTATGTTTAAATAGTTTTAACAGGCATTTATTTCCTATCTTTTAATGTTTAATATGTTTCATCATTCTTAGCAATGTGAGTTTATATTTTGTAATTGTTTTAATATTTTTATTTTTAAAAAAACTATTTGTAAGTCTCCTTGAGTTCCTTTACAGTGAGAAGGATGGGATGGGATGGGATGGGATGGGATGGGATGGGATGGGATGGGATGGGATGGGATGGGATGGGATGGGATGGGATGGGATGGGATGGGATGGGATGGGATGGGATGGGATGGGATGGGATGGGATGGGATGGGATGGGATGGGATGGGATGGGACGATACCATTGCTACAAGATTATTTGTTTTATTTATTCAGAGATCAGCATGTTGGTAGGAATGTCCGATTTGATGCACCATGATACCATTGCTACAAGATTCTTTGTTTTATTTAACCAGTGCATCAGAGATCAGCACGTTGGTAGGAATGTCCGATTTGATGCACCAATCTACATTGAAGCTTAAACTGAAAACACAAGAAAGTAAAAGCTAAACATGACAATATGTTAATAAAATATATAGGTGTGAAACAAAATGCTAAAGTTTTGTTTAGTTGAAGTGTGACTTAAGCTTTTTAGTCTCCATCTATATGCTTTTAGACTCTAAATACATAGAGGACCATATTCTTTTCATATCTCTTCATGCTGTCTCATATAGACTTGGTATTTCAGGTTTCCTCCCATTTCATTTTACTCTTTTAGCACTGAAAATGGGTATTGGCGTGCTATTTCCTAACATTTAATTTTATTCATGCTTAAGATCTGAGTATTTGTTGTCCCATGTGCCTCTAAAATTTTGGTTCTTGTTACAGGTGTCAATTCAAGTAACTCCAGCTTTTGTACCTCCTTACCTATTCCCAATAGGAGAAGTTGAGATCACTTATACAGCAGTTGACAAATCTGAAAACCAGGCAAGCTGCACATTCAGTATCAAAGTTGTTGGTGAGTGTGACCAAGAAATTATACACATTTTGATAAGAACTTCAGTGCTTCCTTTGGTGACCAGAATATGCTTTTTAAAAAGTCTTACAAGTTTTGTAAAAGACCCTCATATTTGTGGTTTGCCTTGAATCTTCAAGGCAAGACTGTTCTACAGTTGTGGAATGGCTCTTTCTGTGCAGTGATGTTTTCTGTTGGTGGACTGATGGTAGATATACTATGAAAAACTCTTCTGCCTTTTTAAGAACCATGAAGTGACAAAAAAATGAAATTACCCAGAAAATTGTGTTAGTTCAAAATGTGACAGCTAGGCTGTTGTCTAGTACCTAGTGAAGAGGACCTGATTCATCTATTTCTTTCTGGGCTTAATTTAAATAGTGACCTTGCTTTTAAAAATATGCAAATTGTCTTGAATCTGGTACCTTAATGACTCTGTGGATCTATACAGTTTTCAGTGGACCTCACTACCTCACTCAGAGGCCCTGCCCTCTGTTCATTTTCTTGGGCTGTCAGCTGGTTGAGCATGACAGAACTTTTTTAGTGATGGAAGCAAAGCTGTGCAACACACTTTTGGTAAATGTTGATCAGACCCATTTTCTGGTTTATTTGTTTTTAGAGGAATAATATATGGATCTGCTGTTGTGTTAAATTTATTTTTAACTTGATTGATGCCTTTAAATATCATTTTTGTAACTGTATCATTTGTTTCGTATATATCTGATGTAAACTGTTGTGGGATTTGTACAAGTTAAATAGTAGGATAAATATATAAAACTCTATCGATATTAAAAAGGAGGACACAGCAATGATTTTCCCATCTTAATCTTCTCTAACTTCATCTCTAAATTCCTATTACCCCAGTATCCAAGAATAAGAATCCAGTGATGAGAATACATAGTTCAAAGGTGTAGTACATATTGTGGTTTATTCAGGTCTGAAATTCAATTATCTATATTTGCAATGGTAGGAACTTTAGTAGCAGTGTTGGTCAGCATCCCTACTTGAGCAAACTACTGCCATTTAAAGCAGACCATATCAGACTAGAGCTGATCCTTAACATGGTGTCAGCAGACCATATGCTTTGATGTCACCAAGCTGTCTTCATAAAAAAATTAATAATAATTAGGAGGTCAATCAGATGCCTAATTTATTTTGTTTTGTTTTGCTTTATTTTATTTTATTATATTTTAAGAAACAGAAGTAGGGCATAAATGCAGTAGTCTGCACCTCTTTGTTCCTAGCAACTAGTAATAAAAGGCATGCTTTTTCTGATGCAGGAACAGAGCTTGAATATTACATCTGAAAATAAATTTATCAGTGCCAAATTGTAAACACTGGGAGAATAACTAGTTGTTGTTTACATTTAAGCCTGAAAGCATTTAATTCGTTGAATTAGCCTGATTAATGTCTTGATTAGCTAATTAGTTTTTAAATAAACAGTAGAGTTTGCAGGGAATGGAATGTAGGCTGTCACTGTTGACCTTGATAGCACATTTATCATTGACTCCTTGAAAAGTCCTCTTTTTGATGCTTTGGAATTGCCTTCCCCAGCTTTGCAGTTTTTGGCAAATTCACTACAAATTCCATAATAAATCTGTTAGTTATGGATGGCGGTTCCAACATTATGAAAGCTATTTGGTTGTAGAAGGATGTTTGACCTAACACAGGCTCTTGCCCCTCCACTCACAGAGAAAGCCACAGCCACCCAGATAAAAAAAGACTAATTTGGAACAGTAATATTGTTGCCCAAGTTCTAATGTATTTCCTTAGCAAGACACTGTAGAAGTTTTGCTTGGAAGCGTAGACAAAAGTCTCTTCAGCTCCCCTCTACCAGCCTTCTTCTTCTGCACTATTATATATATCCTGAAACTCCGTCCATTGACTGTGCTAACTAGAGCTTCCAGGAATTATAACCTGCCAACATTGGAAGTGCCAAGCTCAAGAATCACCTATATAGAGTTAATTCTCTCGGGGAGGTGTATGGGTGCCTTCTTTCTGAGGAAAGAATGAGACACACAAACATAGCGGTTTATGTATCTGGCTGCGGAGCCAGAGGTTGGGAGTTTGATTCCCCCACCATGCCTCTATGACAGGAACTGGACCTGATGATCCATAGGGTCCCTTCCAGCTCCCCAGTTCTAAGATAATTCTTATTATAGTATAAATAATGATTTTTACACATAGAAAATGTGTAGTCAGTACTTCTAGAGCTTTATTCTTAGTATGTTATATAAACTGTTGCTTTCCCTGCCCCCTTTGATGGAAAATTAATTAATTTAAAGTTAATGTAAAAATTGCTTTAATGTGTTAAAACTGTTCTGTTAATTTTAATGTATTATTTCCAGACTTTGTGCTGGAAGTAATATACAGCCATACATAAAGTAATCCAACCTAGTAAACTGTTGCTACATTTTTTGCTACTGAATTGCATTGTTTACCTGTCCACTGGATGAAGAGGTATTTCCTTTCCTGTCCTGTTTGAGACAATTGGAAACATATTTGTTCAGGGAGGCATTTAATTTTAACATCACTGGATGCCCTATGTTTGCTTCCATTATATCCTTTTATATCTGTGTATGTTTTAATGTTTTACTCTTTCATATTTGTGTTTTAGATGATGATTTTAAAATTTCCATATTTAATAACTTTGTAATGATTTATGCATCATGTTTTACTGTTTTGTTTGCTTTAATGATATGTGAATCACCTTGAGTTCTACCACCTGGAAGAGAGGCAGCATAAAAGTGCAATCATTCAGCAAAATGTTTCCCCATACTTACATTTTTTTTCAAGCTGAAAACCTCCAAATGTTGCAATTTTCTGTTGCTCCAGTGCCCCGTTTCCTTAATATCTTTATCTTATTTCATCTGGTATGAGGAATAATTGTGGTTCATTTTGCAGGGTTTTGTGGATAAGACCTGTTAAAATTGCAGTGAGACATATATAAAGATGTGGTTTCATGGCTATATTGAACTGTAATTGTTATAAATGGAAAAGATTCTGGCAACACTCCAATAGCTTATGTTTCTACAGAGAAGACCAATGCTATTAAATCTGATTGTTATCAGTTGAACAATCTTATTGAATACATATGTTTGAAATTAAAAGCTTGCATCAGCTAACTTGCCTCCTCCATTAACTTCATGGATCTTTTTCTAAAGCACATATGCTTAGGATCTTCAGCTATGGCCTGCACAGTGTCTTGTAGCTGAGAGCTAGCAGGAACAGATAAATGTCTGCATTAGTGGAAGCTATAATGCCAGCTCCTTATATGTTTTTTTCCCTGCAGACTTAAATGTAATGTATACATGTTCCAGGCTGGATTTACTGACATGAAATTTCCTGTTCTAATGAATTCTTATCCCCAGGAAGTAGTTGTCTTAAACTCATATCACATCTCCGTGTTTGACTTGGCATTTTTGTATACATTTTTCTCTAGCCTTTTGATAAGATTTCTTTTTGTCTGTTCATATTATTTAGACAATGAACCTCCTGTCATTGACAAATGCAGATCTCCACCGCCAGTTCAAGTAGCTGAAAAGAACTACAGAGTAACATGGGACGAACCACAGTTTTCAGATAACTCAGGTATGTGACTTCATCCAGAAAAAATTATCTGTTTTTAAAAAGAAGAATAAGAATAAGAATAAAAACACTCAAGGAATTATTTGAATCTTTTCTTTGGAGTACATTTAGATGACTTGTGACACTGAACTTAAAGTAAATCTATACAGAATATTGTAATGCTAAGAATTAAGAAATATAAGGTGCCTTTTATTCTTTAATAGGGAAGAATAAACAATATGGTTCAGTTTTTATTCTCACACTTAGTGGCATGGGTTAGAACAAAAGATTCAGGACATTATATCAGATGACTTAATTTTTAGAACCTATTGAAAATCTTTAGAAGAATAGTATATTTTTTTATTGGCTGAAATCTTGCTGTATAATAGGAAAGATGTCATTGGCAGTGGCAGATTGCCTATGATTAGAGGCACAGGGCTCGCTGGATAGCTCAGTGAGTTAGGCATCAAGCTATGGAGCCAGAGGTTGGGAGTTCAATTCCTCCCTGTGCATCCCAGAAGAGCCAGCCAGTATTCCTTTGGAAAAGCTACGCTGTTGTAGGATGCCCCCAGCACTTCTGAATACTAATACTCTCTACCAACGAAACCCCTGAAAAGGGTCACCTCAAGTCAGAATTGACTTGATGGCACACAATTATTATTAGTATTATTATTGGATTCACATTCTGTAAACATCAGTACATGTTCATGATGCTATAAGGCACACTTGTTCTATCCAATTTATACGAAAGAATTAAATATGCCCATGAACATGGCCTGAAAGAGTTGAACAACTAAGTGAATCTATCATGTTGACCTTGGAAAGTAACAGTTGCTGAAACATAGTGAAGCTGGGATGTGCTGAATGCTCCTTGTAGAAATGTATTTTATTGGGAATTAAGTGAAGTTAGATAACATAGTTTGTGGTTTGCACTTCGAGGATCTAAACCGTTGACCTTGGAAAATAACAGTTGCCTGAAACATAGTGAAGCTGCGATGTGCTGAATGCTCATTGTAGAAATGTATTTTATTGGGATTTAAGTGAAGTTAGATAACATGGTTTGTGGTTTGCACTTCGAGGATCTAAACTCCAGAAATGTAATAAGGAGATTCAGGCTTATAAATTTGCTATGATTGTATGGCACTGCATTTAGAATGTCACCTGTCTCACTTTTTTTTTTCAATTTGTGATTACTGTAGGAACAAGTTTATCAATAGCTAAAAGCCACTCCCCGGGAGATCTCTTTCCCAAAGGAGAGACAGTGGTTCAATATACTGCCACTGACTCATCAGGAAATAACAGAACTTGCGAGCTCCACATCGTCATCCGAGGTTTGTTTCATTCTGCATATATTTAACATAGCTTGCACAGCTTCTGGAATTCTGCTTCTCTGAACAGAGATGTTGGCATTCCAGACTTGTTTCCCAGAGGATCCAATATGTTAGGAATCCACCATTGTTCTATTTGTTCGTTTGCTCACTTTCTCTGTGCACAATCAGTTTTCCGCAGCTTCCACTTATGTTTATTTGAATCTTGTCTTGGTGGTGTGCAAAAAAGTAAACTGATGTACAAAAAAAGGTGATAATATTTGATTGGCACAATCATATTTATGGTTGTCTCAACACTTTTCTGTACGAGTTTTTTATTAATGGTGGACTGGGATATATGAGTACAAGATGCTATACAAGAAGACTGTGCAGGCGTAGGTCACTTTGTTGCAGCGTTGAGCACTAGGCAGATATACCTTGTAAATGTAAAAAAGGAAGAAAGTGAAAATAAACCAATGGAGCTGATGGTTGTGAGATATAGCATGTCCCAAGAATATCAGAAATTGTTCATTAAACAAAAACCCCGGAAAAGTGCAACTTGAAGACCTACAAAATAATAAAGAAATGGAACAGGGGAAAATCTACTTATCCAAAGATTTAATATTCAAATTAAGAGAGATGTGCATTTTATACACAAGGAGGGAAAGATGCATGTATTGGCCTCCAATATATTTACTTGTTTGTTTGTTTGTTTTTTCAGGATCTCCTTGTGAAATCCCCTTTACCCCAATGAATGGGGATTTTAAATGTCTAAAAGACGAGAAAGGAGTTAACTGTACGTTACATTGCACGGATGGGTATGACTTCACAGCAGGTTCCAATGAGAACTATTATTGTGCCTATGCAGATGGTATCTGGAATCCACCTTACTCTACTGAGTGGCCTGACTGTTCTTGTAAGGATTATTATTTACCTTGTTTTTCAGGTGTCTCTTGTGTCATCCACTCTGCCATATAGGAAATAAGAAACAGGAAATTATATCTAAAATAATAAATCCAGTTTGTGTGGAAAAAATTATGAATCGAAGCCTATTTGAATTGGATTTGTCCAAACGTTTCCATAAAGTCCAAATAAGAGAGGCACCTATTACACTGCATTTGTGTAGCATGTGTGCAATAGTACATACATATATCTAGTGCCAAAAAAACCACAAAAACTCCAAATTGCACAGTATAGTAGTTTTCTGTACATTAAGTCGCTGTCATACAACAATGAGCCAGCCAGCATTTTCCTTTATTTGGTTGGTCAGAAAGATGTGCATATAATTGCATGTATTTTGACATAGAGCATAATGTATTTTAATAGTTGTAAGCCGCCCAGAGACCTTTGGGTAGAGTGGGCGGGATAAAAGTTAAATAAATAAATAAATAAATAAATAAATAAATAAATAAATAAATAAATAAATAAATAAATAAATAAATAATATTGGGAACTGAGGAGTAATATGTGAAATTTGGCAACAAACTCCAACCATTATGGCAGACATTTTAGAGCTGATGCTAACATCCTCCCCAGGCCTGTTTATGAACTGAAGAGAATAATGCTTTATCATCCATGGTTTCGACAGTTTTTCCTCTGAGCACAGCCACTGAAGTGACACAGAAGCTGAACTTTTCATAGGTGCTAGTGCTGTTCTCTCCAGGTCACTGCAGACCCTCTCCATCTCAGCTGGGAGTTGAGTAAATTTTAATGTGGGGACTTCATAAAAATAACTCCCTTATCACTGTTGTAGGTAGGCTGGGAGAGAAGAGAGGGCCATACCTGTGAGGAAGTGAAAGGTTCTTTGTCTGTGAAGTGGGAGGTATGCATTTCTGTGAGTGGGGGAAGGAAAGATGTCTGGATGGGACTTGGAAGAATGTCTTGTTTGTTTGTGTGAAGAGTGTTCGTGCAAATATATGTAGGGAGGAAGAATGACTGTCTTGGAGGGAAGAAGAATTAGTTTTCGAAGGTTATCTGTCAATGTGTCTGGGAGAGGAATGACTTATGTTTATGGTGTCCTGACCAATGTGGGTTTGGCTTAACATGCCTCCCAGAGAACCGCCCTGAATGATTTCCCCAGCCACCAGTGCAGATTTTTACCAGAAAGTGCTTACCCCTGATATCCATCATCCCCTGTCCTTTCTTTCTGATATCCTTTACATTAGTGCAGAAACTACACTTTCTAGTTTATATGTGGCTCTACCATCACCTTGTGTCATCATTAATCCCTCAATTCTTAGTTATTCAAAGAAATGCAGTGTGACTATATGACAACAATCCTGACTCCCAGTCTGGAGGTGCCACTACTTTGAGCTGATCCAATTCAGTGCATGCAGTACTATTGAATACATCGCCCCTGCCTAATTTTACACGTTTATGTCTCTACTGGTTTTATGTTATTCACACTTCTCTGAATTTGAAGTGATAGTTATTCAAATATTTAGGACATCGCAGGAATCATTTGAATAAATGTCATTCCTCCTGCCTTGTTACAAATAACTTAGAGGCTGGCCATGTGAGTGTTTAGCCTACTGGTTGATCCTCTGCAGGAAAAGGTTTGTTCACAATGAAAGACAGCAACCAGACAATGTCTTTGTTGGAATGAACCAGCCCAGCCCCAGAGCAGTCCTATCTGCACCTTTCTGAGCCCCCGTCACAGAGTTCTACTCTTTTGGTGCAGGCAGGGTCACTCTGGTTTAGATCAGTCTGGTTTGGATCAGTTCCAGTGTGTATGATCGCTCCAACTGAACTGATGTGAGCTTTCTGGTTGAATTTGCCAATATTGTGAAGTAGCTTAATAAGCAAACCGTTTCAAGATATGGGAAAATTAAGACCATTGCCAATGTGCTTCATCAGTTATAATTTTTTAAAAAATCATGTCTTTGCTTTGTCTTAAAGAACCAGGCAAGAAACCACCCACAGTTGAATCTGCCACCATGGATTCAGCTGGCAGCAGTTTCTTGACCAGCTCATTATGATGAGGCAAAGAAAAGATTTTAACAGCTGTTCCACAATTGTCTATTACATAGACTTTTTTAAAATTGCTTCCTCTTCTCCAGATGAGGCAAAGAGAAGATTTTGACAGCTGTTTTAAAAAAAACTGATACTGCGCATCCACAATTGTCTATTACACAGACTTTTTTTAAAATCACTTCCTCTTCTCCTCTGCTGAGGAGCAGAGAAAATGTTCAAATTGCCCTTAAGTGACTGACTTATTAAGCTACTTTATGATGTCAGAAATTGAAGGCACCAGACAAAATAGGTTTGCCCTTAAGTGACTGACTTATTAAGCCACTTCATGATATCAGAAATTGAAGGCACCAGACAAAATAGGATCACTTGAACTCCAATATGCCGTTTAGATATGAGGATCACACCAAATGATATATTGCACCTCCACCTGAACTTAAGCAGTCCTGAGTCTCTGACATCAGCCCACTCCAAAAGAGCTTGTTTAGTTGCACCCTTAGGTTTCAACCAGGAGTTTAGATCTATTTATCCCAATGAATCGAGCAGTATTTTGCTGCAAGGAAACTTAGTTAGAATCGGAGATGCCAGTTATTGGGTAATTGTTGGAAGTCCACAGATTCTGCTGTGTCTTTTTAATCAGAGACTTGGGGATATATGAGTCCCCGAAGAACATTTTTCTCTCTCTTCCCTAATGTTCCAAGGGAGGGACTGGATTAGATCCCTAGCTGTTAAATAAATACTAAAATGTCAGCAAAATATTTTTCTTCTTAATTGTTATAAATACAGATCTTGATGTGAAGCACATTTACTTGGAACGAAGTCTTGCTAATTTCAAGTTTCTTTCGTTTATTTAAATAAATAAATATGTTTGCCCATTCTCCCCCAAGGAATTGTGCTTATGATTCCAATCTGTCTTATACTAAGTGGCTGATAAGGTCCTAATAGACCTGCTGATAGTAAGTTGGACCCCAACTTCTAATGGCTTGTTGTAGCCTCCCCTTCTTTTAAAACTGTTTAAATATTACCCCATACCTGCCCCCAGCATCCAAAACTCATTTTTATGATCACTGCGACTCACACTGTAAACTCGCATATTTATATTATCAAGCATGCCAGGAAGAATGTGAAATTGAGAGGGTGAAGAAAGAAGACAAAGAGGTTGGGGGGGGGGAACCCGTCAGGTGGACAAAAGAGAAAAGCTGAGGCAGAGAAGAGGACAGCAGATGCCGGAGAGGAGTGCTCAAAAAGCACCCTAGAGAAATGAGGTGGGGTGGAGTCAAGAGAACATGGAAGAGGTCAGAGAGGAGAAATGTTGAACAAGCAAGCTGGAGAGGGGAGGTGTGAAGGGTTTCTTTTATAAGGTATTAAAATTGTGCAGGTACCAAACCCCTCTTTTATTAATGAGCCTGATGGGGAGGAAAAGGTTCAACTTAAAATGACTGTTTACAACCATTATCAGGGAACCAATTTGGTTTCAGTGTAGTAGTCTGCTGTGTATTTTGTCTCATGATCCTTAATTTCTTGCTTATGCAAATGACCCCCAAGTTGTCTCCATTGTAATATAATGCAATGGTATAATCTTGTACAAACTAGGCTAATCACTGATTCTGCAGCAATTGCATTAACATCCTTTCCATCATTTTTCAGTGAAACGCTTTGCAAATCATGGTTTCAAATCCTTTGAGATGCTTTACAAAGCTACACGATGTGATGACAGCAACCTTCTTAAAAATTTTGTGGAGGCTTTTCAGAGTGCACTTGGTAAAATGGTGGGTTAGTAATGCATAATTCCAAAATTATTAATGAATTGCTGTTCCTCAAAATGTTGAAATGGGCTGTGAAAAAAACGTCTCTAATTTGGGAAGCAAATTGTTGTTGAATTATTGTTATAGCCCATGCCTCTTGAGTTGTGTTTTGTGTTCTCAAATCAAACCTGTTAATAACATTTCAGTTTAGGAAGGATACTGACTGATTATTATTGTTATAAATATTTGAATCACATTTAAATTATGTCCACCCTAATAGGGTTTTTGAGACAAATGTGATGTTTAATGAGTGATTTATCATTGCCAACTTCCAGTGAATTTCCATGGTTGAATGGGGATTTGAACTCACATCTTTGGAATTACAGTATAATCCAACACTCTGTTTGCTATCTTGCACTGACTAAAAAAATTGTGTGTGTTTTTTTAAATGGAAAGGAAAATTTAAATTAGTCAATCATTTAAAGCTTTGTGTGAACTTCTGTTTGAATGGGAGAAGCTGCTCTATTGACTTTGCAAATTCAAGCTATTATTATTATAATTTACATAAATATGGTTTACAGGTTCCATCATTTTGCAATGATGTTGATGACATTGACTGCAGACTGGAAGATTTCCCACAGAAACATTGCTTAGAGTACAATTATGACTATGAAAATGGTTTTGCAATTGGTAAGTTAATTATTTTGTTGCTCACTACCTCTAAACCTTTTAGATAAAGTAATTTAAGAAGAAAATGTTCAACTTGTTGCCTTCTGCAATCTTGCAATCTTCCTGCAATCTCCTGCTGCCAAGATATTGGTTGATCTAGCAAAATAATGCAAACACATCTTTGGAAATCTGGAAGGAAAAAAGTGGCTATGGGAAATGATTTGATGAGGAGAAATGGAGGGCAGGGCTAGGTAAGTGAAGAATCTTGCCAATTTCTTGTTTACAGGCAAGACGGAGTGTCTCAACATAGTAAGACAGCCTGTTCAGGATTCCTCAGACACCCCGAGGAAAGTTCTCCTCTCCAGCATGAGAGTGAGTCACAACACAGTTTGTTACCTTGTAGTTTGCCCAGTTTGCACTAAACATCCCCAGCATTTTTTTTTATTTCTGGTGCTAAGGACTCATACAGTAAACACAAAAGAGCAAGATGAATGCTCACAAAAGTACAAACAAATCATCGAATGAGCCTACTTTTCAAAAGTGTGTACAACACCAAGGCAGTAGTTATTGTTGCTATAAGTATTGTGGGGCTGGGGAGGTCTCACAAACCTGCAAATTCTTCCTGAGCCCACACCAACAAAACTGTGGCCTCTTACTACAAGGGAAGTAATGTTTGCATTTTCTTATTAAACAACGTGAGCATGAGACAGTTTGCAATTTACAGTACATCCCTTAGCTAAGCAAACATTCTTCACTCACTCCTTCTGCAATTTTTCCATTCTAAATCATCCCTTTTTCCATTTTAAATCATCTCTTTCCCCCTTTTTAAAGAAAAGAATAATACTGGATTCTGTTACATTCACTTGGACACAATGTACAATTAGTCACAATGTACAGATGTGTACCTTTGCTGGATATTTGTGTTGAAGTCTTTACCTTTCATGTATGTTGGGCATGTCCAAATGGTAGAAGAAACCAAGAAGTGAGCATTCCCATCTGGCAACTCCTGTAAGTGGGAATGGCTGAACAAACCATTAAACCTTTCTGATCAGTACGTCTGTTATGGCAGACCAGAGCCATAAACCATGGTTTGTTCTTTACTTTTGAGTTCCTTATTAGAAGAGAGACCTACCAGAATTCCTGCTTTGCACATCATACTAAACAAACCACAAATGGAAGTTTTATGTTATGTTCCTCTTGCTTTCAGACGCAGCAACTCAGCACTGCACACAAGCCTGTGATATATGAACCAAGCCATTGCATATGTGCAATCTAGAGATATCTCCAGCCAGTTTTAATACGGCCAATACATCACTTCATTTCTTCTAATAAATTAACAGTGCTTGAAATACTTGTGGTACCTGTGGGAATACTAGTTTATTTTCATTGTGTTGTTTCCCTCACTTTATTAATATCTATCAGGTCCTGGAGGCTGGGGTACAGCAAACCAACTAGATTATTCTTATGATGACTTCCCTGAAGCAGTACCTGAAGAGGGCCAACCTAAACCATTAGCGGATTCTGTGGATGTGGCACATCCTCGGGTCAAAAGGCATAAAAAATTGAACATGCCCATGTCAGACCACAAAATAAAGTTAGTTTTCAATATCACTGGTAAGGAAAATCCTCCATTTTCATTACTCAAAACTATAATTTATCAAGTAGAATACTTAGTACCGTTCCTGATAGTGAAATCAAGCTGAGTTTTGAACACAGTTTTCTTTGCCACTGTTTGCAGGATTTGAGTCTTAGCAACTTGTGTATCACAGGATTGTTACACTTTCTTGCTGTTTCTGCTGTTTTGGTGCATTGTGGTCATCAGCCATGTAATGCCTCTGTGTATATTTGTGAGGTTTGTTTATTTGTTTTCCTAATCCCAGCTAGTGTACCATTGCCTGATGAACGAAATGATACACTGGAGTCAGAGAACCAGCAACGCCTTCTAAAAACACTAGAGACTATCACAAACAGGCTGAAAAGGACTCTCAGTAAGGATCCAATGTATTCTTTTCAGTTTTCTTCTGAGCTGCTTGTAGCAGACACCAATTCTCTTGAAGCTGAAAAGGCCTTCCTGTTTTGCAGGCCAGGCTCTGTTCTCAGGGGCCGAATGTGCGGTAAGCAAAATTCAGTTTCATTCATTGTTTTAGTCAATGGAAAAGAGTGATTAATCAATTTTTCTCCATGGAGTTAGACATATCTGGCTTTTTTGATGCTATGCTCTATATAGATGTAGTTGGACAGTGTCATCGAAGCTACTATCATGAATCTGACCAAATTCTGGGAGGCAGTGGAAGACAGGAGGGCCTGGTGTGCTCTGGTCCATGGGGTCACGAAGAGTCGGACAAGACTAAACGACTAAACAACAACAAAATATAGATGAGTGGTGCCCTGTGTTTCAGACACTGGGGAACTGTCTCATCCTGGAAATGCAGAATGAGGTCTTCCCACACAGAGCATAGGCAGCCTATATAATGAAAAGTATTTCTTGTGACGATCTTCAGTGGTGTTTTGATGATGTCAGATATTGGCAGAATCCAGTGAGTTGCCCTCTGCTGGTGGAAGGTTTTGATTAGAGATGGGCACTAACCACCACTTCAGTGGTTCAGCCCAGTTCTTTTACCCGCCCCACATGTGGTTCACAGTTCAGCACCCCACCACCTCTAGTGGGTGCCCAGCTACCAGAGGAGGCAGGGCAAAGAAGCTGGGGTGCTGCTCGCAAGTGGGCACCTGCCAGAGGGTGTGGGATGCTGAACCACAGAACCTCTGTAGGGCCAGTAAATGAACCAGACTCAATCACTGAACTGGTAGTTCATGCCCATCCCTAGTTTTGATCACTGAAATGGTGGGGGCATTTTTACAATAATTTCTACTCCTTTTGTTCCCCACACACAAAATAATACATTTTGGGGAGGATAAATTATTGAAAATAATTGGAAACCACCCCCACAACTATTCTAGTTAGATTCCATCTATTCGAACATTTTGACATGTTCTTGGATTAACCGAAATTGAAAAAAAAAATTGTCACTTCAGCCATTCATTTTTCATCCCAGTTAAATTGTATTTCCTGTACATAAGACTTACTTGTTTGGAGAAGCATTCAGTTATGTGAATCTGCATCTGCAATCTCAAATGCTTTAGTTTAGATGCCTTGTAATCTGCTGCAGGAGAAATAGGCCACGGTATAAGAGCTAGTGTAGGCAAGGTCTTGGTTATATGCTCCATCCGTAACATTGTATTTCTTATTTCTTTTCATTAAATCACAGTTAATTGCCCACTGGGTACTTACTATTCCCTGGAACATCACGCATGTGAAAGTTGCTGGATTGGATCTTTCCAGGATGAAGAAGGGCAGCTTGAATGTAAGAACTGCCCATCTGGTAGCTATACAGAATATCTTCATTCCAGAAGCATATCAGAATGTAAAGGTAAAAGGTTAACATCGTGAACTATTTTTTTAAAACTTGCGAAAGCATATCTTCCACACTTAAAACATTTCAAAAATTCAATTTTTAAAAATTGTTTATAAGCTGTTTTGAACTGTTGAGAGAATTGACCTAAATATTTAAACTTTGTTGCATTCTTCTTGTTAGAGATGTTTATTTAGAAATGTTTATTTTCATTTTTGAAATCTGGAAGAGTACAATAAAATGCTATATTTATATTGTTACTTTCTATTTTGTTTTTAAAATAACTGCTTGGTTCATGTATACAGTAACAGAAGTGGATAGAGAAAATTGTGAAAGTAAATTCTAATTCTTTGAGCTACCACTTTAGTAATAGAAGCATGATTGAGATGGACTTATTGATTGATTGATTGATTGTATTTATACCCCACCTATCTGGTCAAACGACCAGTCTAAGGGCCTGGTCACACAAAGGAGTTGTTCTCTAGTTATCCCCCAGTTAGATCGTTGCTTTTTCCCCCAATCACATGACGCACAGTCAAGATCGAAACATTTTCCTGGCCAGCAGTGTAGCTGCAGTTTATTTTCCACTCCCTGGGAAGGTTGTGCTATTTTGTACCTCTGTTGTATTGATGCATTCCTTACCAGAATTGCTTGTATGTATGACCTGACCTGCTTCTTTTCAGAATCAAAGCCAGGAAGGTGGTTGCCATTCTTGTGGCATGCATATTAATTTTTTTTGTAGCTGCTACATTGATACATTGGTAAAGTATGTCACAGAACAATTTGATCCATTGCTGCAGTACCAGCATTTCGACATTCTGCTCTTCACTAGTCATTGTGAGAAGTGTTGCAGGAGGGAAAAGGAAATGGCAGATTAAACTGAAAGGCAGAAGAGATGGTGAGGGAAACCGATGAAATTCTGCAGAAGCAGCCAGTGCAAAAGAGGACATTTTCCCAAACTGAAACCTCTTCCAGATATATCAACGTACAGTGGTGCCTCGCTTAACGGGCACCCCGTTTAATGATGAAATCGCATGGCGATTAACTTTTTTCCCTATGGGGAAAAATCGCTTTGCGATTATTGGTACCCTGTTTCACTTACTCATCATCGCAAAGCGATGATTTTTTAACAGCTGATCAGCGGTTCCAAAATATTCACCAGGTTAAAAAAATGGCCGCCTGCTGTTTTCTGGGACAGATTCCTCGCTTACCGGGCAGCGAAAATGGCCACCGTATGGAGGATTTTCGCTTAAAGGTGAGTCTGAAGCACATAGGAATGCATTGAAGGGGTTTCAATGCATTCCTATGGGCTTTTTAATATCGCATAGCGACAAAATCACCTTGCAGCGATTTTTGCTGCACTGATTATCGTCGCTATGCGAGGCACCACTGTGTCAATAAATATTTTTAGAAAAGTTAATAAATATTTTATATTATAGAATATTATTATATT